CATGTCCTTCCTAGAGCGGACCTTTTATTTGTGACTTTTCTTACCTTTTCCAATGGAGGCTGGGTGTCAGGACATAATTTACAATGCTGACCCTGAAGGTTTACAAAAAACAGGCTTGCCATACCCTCTCCATCAAGGTAACGATGCATTGCTTTACAGGCTCACAGAGATCTCCATTGCTGAACTTGTATTACCAATTCCTGTGTTAATGTAACTGTTATGGCCAAGTTTTAATAAAAGGAGCCATCACTTGTATTGCCTGGAACAGGACCTTCGAGAAAGCATTAGCAAAGATAAAATACAGTGCGCTCTCCTCAGCACTTTCTAATCTAAGAGCCACTTGACCTATCCAGAGGAAAACCCACAGATTATCTTGCAGAAAGCTGTCATGAGAGCTTTCAGTTACAACCGAATACACAGGAGCCAAACTTTGCTGGCTCCCCTTCCTCCTCTGTGCTCTTGCTTGTGCATGTAGGAAGATGGGTGTCCACTTTTCCCACACGCTATGGTCCTCGAGCCCCCGAGCCCAGCAGCAGCAGGGGAGCTGGCACAGCCCTTGATGTGATGGTTTAATCAGTAACTCCAGCAACTTCTCACTGGTCCTTTCCCAACACTTTGTGGTGTCCTCTGGCATCTTGGAAGGCTTGGATCCAGAGGGATGGTGGCCCCATGCTGAGACACCTGGTTATCTCATGGCTAAACCAGAAATGTCCTGTGCTCCTGCACATGCTTCTTGATGCTGTAGGCTGCTAATAGCACCCTCCTACCTCTCAGGGACAGCTTGAAGAGAAAGTATGTGTCTGTGAGGAGTTCCCATACCATGTGAGGAACGAAGCAGCACAGACGGAAATCTAGACCTGTTCACAAGAAAACACTCTACCAAAACAAGGACCTATTTATACTTGATGACAATCTTGCATTTGAATCCTAGACCTGAGTAATCCCATTTTTTTCTTCAAAACTGCTTCATTTTACCTGCGTAAGGGTCATGGCTGCAAACTGCCCCACCTTTCCTATGGGCTGTCCTGACACAGCCATCTGTCTGCTGCAGAACTCCGTTTGCAAGCAATCCCATTTGTTTTCTCCTTGCTTTCAGTTTCCATCAACTCTAGGTGACACCTGGAGAACAGCAGTCCATGGCTCCCCCCAGTCTCTCTAAGGAAGTAAAAGCCTCCCAGCTCTTCCCTTTCACCATACCCCACCAAGAATGACATGGCTTATAGCAAAGTTTCCTCTTCCTTAACTGGTGTCACTGGGTAAGATGCATTTATTCACTGGAGACCTGCAGACACATGTTGATGCTATTCCCTTCCTAACTGCTGCTCTGAACATGTATCTCATTTTCAGGTGTAATGAACCTCTCCAAGCTTCTTGTCTCATCTGCAACTCTGAACATTTCTGGCAGTTTCCCATGGCAGTCTGATGGGGAAGAAGCCTTACCAGATGAGCTTACTGCTTGCTAATCATTTCTTTCCTCTTTTGTGATGAATAAGATCCTGATGGGTGTTCAGCTCCTGGGCCCTCCTTCAGGAGAGGCTGGAGAGTGGCTGGTGGCACCTTCATCATCAGTGGGCTGCCAGGTAAGTGAGTTATGGCAACTGTGCCCATACCCATTGCTCTGTCCTGCTGGTGTGGCTCTTCTGCAGGCTTCACCAGTTTGCCTTGGAGTGGTCCTAGGTTTTGTAACTGTTTTGTGGCTGTTTTTAAGGCAGCCTCACACCTGCAGTTGTGCTCTCCTGCTGACAACTCTCTTGCCTCCAGTTAAAACCAGACACCAAGCTCGGGGGAAAATTAATGACACCTGCAAATTACACATGCTCAAATACTGCTGCTTCATTTGCAAGTAAAATCAGATATTTTGGTGTCTGAGGCCTGTGCCTTATGCATCTGCATATCTTAAGCATATAAACAGCTGGAATTTGCTTTGCAGACATGCTCAAGTTGGCAGCCAGGCACGCTGGTGTGGCTGTGCACAGCCTGGCTGAGATGGCTCCTCTGCACATCCAGCGTTGTGTGTGTGATGTTGGTGATCCCTGTCAAAAAAAGCAGTTCTTGCTCTTCCTCCAGTGGGTTTGGGAACAGCTCTCTGCAATTCCCTTAGCACAGCCAATGTTTCTGAGGACCTGGGACTCACCTTGTACCAGCGTACCCTAGGCCAGGTGAGATCCTGCACCACAGCCAGAAGGTGAGGTTTACATCCAGGAGACCTGCCTGGCTCTCTTGCTGAGGCCAGCCGTGGCCACTTACAAAGAAGACCCACATGGCCTCAGCCAAGGGTGCAGTTTTCCAGGCCCTCCACATTGGCTCAGCTTTACAAAAGGGCAATAAGTGCGTGGTGTGCAGGCAGTTGAATCGAGCAGGGGTGCACTGCTTTTCCTCTCTCTGTTGTTTCCCTCCAGCTAATCTGAAGTCGTTTTGAAAGCTCATATTTTGATCTCAGTGTATACAGAAAACAGAACAGCTCCAAACCCTCATCCCAGCAGCACACAGGAATGCCGTTGCCGAGCTCACTGTGAGCACACACAGCTTTCTGTCACATCCTGGGGCTCAAGGCAGCAGGCAGAGCTCTCTCATGAGGCTTCCAGGCTGGCAGAAGCTCAGGCAACTCCAACACCACCACAGACCATTCGATGGGACCTCACGATGGGGAATATGAGTGGAGGTTGCTCCCTGGCCCCATATGTGGAGAGACATTTTAGGATCTGTTGCAATAGGATGAGGAGTGATGGTTTTAAACTAAAAGAGGGGGGATTCTGGCTGGATGTGAAGAAGAAATTTACAATGAGGGTGGTAAAACCCTGGCACAGGTTGCCCAGAGATGTGGTGGATGCGCCATCCCTGGAGACATTTAAGGCCAGGCTGGATGTGTTTCTGAGCTACCTGATCTAGTTGAGGATGTCCCTGCTCATTGCAGGGGGTTTGGACTAGATGACTTTGAAGGTCCCTTCCAATGCAAACCATTCTGTGGTTCTATGTCCCTTGAAGATGGGCAGCAACAAGTCTCTCCCTTAAAGAGAAGGGAGAGGGGAGTTTCAGCAGTGGGGAGAGGAAAGGGTTGTGTTGTTGACCAAGGCAGCAGCTTAGTGCAGCTGTGCTCGCGGCAGCCCTGAGCTCTCACCAGTGTTTCTTTGAATCCAAAGCGAGGTTTTAGGCACCTTGTCTGCTGGGTTGCTTTGTGGGTGGCTGGAAAGCCAGAGGCTCATGACACTATCCTGTCCCTTGGGCTTTCTGCTTTCCTGCTGGGAGCTGGAAGCCGCAGGAACACATCTGTTTCCAGGGCTCAGTGTGGGGGCCAGCAGGGCACAGGACCAACATTGCCTCTTTGGTGTTATGAACATGTGAAGCACAGCACACGGCAAATCCTAATCCTAATGGCTGCTGGAGCATCTGCTAAAATACTGACCCTCCTGCCCTCCATCCTGTAGAGATATGGTTGAAGGGCTGCCTATGGTTCTTTCTCAGGCTGGTGATGTTCCCAAGCAGCACAGCCCTGTGCTTGGCTAGGGGGATGCCAGCCGCACCGCTTCTCCTGCCCTGACTTCCTCACCTATGGACAAGGGCCAAACCTGTATTCCCTCCATGGTCTGGCCATGGGCAGTGCTGTGCAATGCTGGCTTCAGAGCCTCACTGTGCACAGCCCTTGCACAGCATAAAGACAAAATGTGTTTCCGAAGCTGCACTGCTGAGCAAGCACTGTGCTGAGCGCGCAGGTGGGACAGGCAGAGGCGTCTGCCCCGCAGGACAGGCGGATGATGTGAAACCATCAGACAGGAGAGCGAGCCACAATCAAACAGAGCAGAATTACCTGCAAATGCAAAAGAATCGAAGCGTGTCAGGGAAAGCAGGAACACAGGAGGGATAAAGAGCTCAGCATTAGGCTCCTCTTGGGGAGAGTGTCAGGGCAATGATAACTTGCCAGGGCTTTGATTTCTGGTGAATGCATACAATGTGTATGATTTGTTCGCTGCTGGCAGAAGGTTTTGTTGGGGGTGAGACCAGGAGGAGCAGCCCACGCTCCTTGGCTCTCCCTAGATAAGGAGCTGTTTGATGTTGCGGCACTCTGCCATCGGAGCAGGGAGAACTGATGAGCTGCCTTGCACAGGAACTTCAGCCCAGCCGGCACCACATAAGGTCCTTTATCAGTGTTTATTATTATTGTTGGTGTAACTGTTGATATTATTACTGCTATTTGTTATTATGGACACCTGCCAAGACACACGGGCTATTTTTTCTGCCTTCCTAAATGCCAGCACCTATTTTGTTTGCACTGAATCCATGGGCATGTATCTGGGCAAGCCACAGCCTACCCTGGCTGCGTGCCGATGTGGGGATGTTTGCAGGGGGCTCCTCAAGCATGGAGTGGCGTGTGGAGGTGTATGTGTGCACATCTGTAAGACAGAATGCCATTTCTTAACCACTGTGCTCATTCCTCCTTAGCACAATGCCCAGATCAGGTAAAATCAAGCTCCAGTACACGGAGAAATGTGTTTCCCCATTCCCTTTTGGATGCCAGAGCCTCGTTGTCTCACAGGACTGTGGGCTGGGTGTGTTTGTTTGTGTCGAGTTGCTGATACATTCATGGAAAGTCAGAGCTAAAAGACTTTAAAGTGGTGATGTTTTCAGGTGCAGAAAAAACTGACCGAGACCGTTTGGCATTCCCTGCATGGGACTCCTGCCCTGGAGTGTCAAAGCAATTTTGGAATCAGGTGCCCAACGCTATTCACAGGGAGGGTGAATGTACATTTACATGCACACCCAAGATCACACAGACAAGGGTAACCAGGACCAGGCTCCCTTAACAACAAGGCAAGACACTGTAGTGACTTAGCTGATGTGGGGTTGAGCCTCAGGCCAGGATTGATGTGTAAGTGGACGGATCTACAATGCAGTCTCCATAAAACACGGTCAGACCCAACAGTGCTGTGGCAGGTGGGCAGCCACAGTGCAGGCAGGAGCATCACTGAGGAAGCTGTTTGCAGACCCTGATTTACATCTGCTGCTGTCTGCCCTGGCACACAGGAACACAGGGGAGCTGGGTGATGTCTGGATTCAGCTGACTGACAAGGTGGAAGCAACCAGCCACAGTTTCTGCAGCACCCCAGGTCTGTGTGCCAGTGTAGCACCCTGCTAGCTCAGCCACCAGCCCTGCCTGGGCCCTTTCCAGGTACAGACATGACGTGTGGCACCAGCTCCAAAACACACTGCACATGACAGCCAGAGCACTGTGAGGCCACCGGGAAGCCTGGGTGGCTGATGGGGCTGTTAGCACTCTTTCAGCCGTCTAATGTACAAGTCCTTATCAGAAAGCCCTGGCTTAATCTCAGCTCAACTGGAAAAATGCCGATGACTGGAAATGTCATCAGCTGCCTGTGGGCCAGGCTGGCCCTGAGCTGATAAGGAGCAACGCGGAATAAAAATGTCAGCACAAAACTGGAGAAACACGGAGCCTGGTTGCATCTCTCCTCCATCCCGCAGGAAGCCGGGCCCCTCTGCTGCCAGTCGTTCTCTAAAGCCTCAGCAAGAAAACCTGCTCTCTCTGAGGAAGGAGAAAAGTGGCTGATCTCAGTGCAGCAGAGAAAAAGTGAAACTCCTGCCCCACTGACTCAAAGAGGGTAAGGAAGCCATATTTTGTTGCTTGCTTTATCTTCTTAAGGCAAATCTTGTGATGTTCTGGGTTGGAACCTTGTTTTTTTGAAGCGCTGGTAGATGGTGGGAGAAGGAGACGCACCCAGAAGGAGATCTGACCCCCTGAAATGTGGGCTTGGAGCACCATCTGGGCACTAGGTTTGGGAAGCAGCTCCTCTTGCCCCATGAAGAGCATGCACTCAGGATCCCACAGGAACAACAAATACCACAGCCCTTGGGCAAGGATTAATGCCGTAAGTGACTATATCTCACCTTCCCTCACTGGTGGGAGGGATGTGTTAATTACCCATGGGGAATGGGGTGCAAAGCTCAAACCCTGTGATTTCCAGAGCAGAACAGTGTCTGAATATGGTCACCTGGGTCTTGAGTCTGTCTGTGTCCCTTACAGAGAAGTTTAGGGAGGTATACTTGCATAGCCACTTGCACAGTTCATACGTAAGTAACTTATGAACTCATGGAAGCAACCTGTGAATTTTTCCATCTGTGTTTTACTGAGGAGTCTTTGAAAGAAAGATAGGAGCCAGAGAGAAACGAGGCAGTGTGATTTACAAAGGCTGCAGGTGGTATCGATGCTGGCTTTATGTCACTGTTGTGCTGGGAGATAGAAAGGAGGGAAGATGCACTAGTTCCTCACCCCACTGGATCCCTTGGCCAAACTCCAGCCCTGGGACTTGCTCATTGTGCCCAAGGCACATGAGCCAGCTGGATTGGTCTCCTACTTTACCACACCAGCCCTCACGTCAGCTTTGCCCTGCAAGGCCCCACAGGGCACATTGTGCTTCATGTGTGTGTGCCCAGACAGTAGTGTGATGTTTGTGGATTGTCTTTTTGAGGCTATTCCTTCTCTGGTTGGGCATGCCAGGACAGTCCATTGCCAGCTCAAACAAACATCAGTACAGGCTGGGGATGAAGGGATTGAAAGTACCCTGGAGGAGGAGTTGGGGTTAAAGGAAGTGATTCTGCTGCTCTACTCTGCTCCGCTGAGACTACACCTGGAGTACTGCATTGTGCTCTGGGGTCTTCAGTACAGAAAGACATGGACCTGTTGGAGGCAGTCCATAGGAGGGCCACAGAAATGATCAGAGCACCTCTCCAATGAGGAAAGGGTGAGAGAGTTGGGGTTGTTCAGCTTGGAGAAGACTCTGGGAGACCTTACTGCAGCCTTTCAGTAGTTAAAAAGGGCCTATAAGAAAGACGGGGAAGGACTTTAGGGCAGGGGCAGTTGAGGGGTGATGGTTTTTAACTAAAGGAGGAGAGATTCGGGCTGGACATGAGGAAGAAATTCTTTACAATGAGCGTGGTAAAACCCTGGCACAGGTTGCCCAGAGATGATTTGGATGCTCCATCCCTGGGGACGTTCAAGCCAGGCTGGATGTGGCTCTGGGCAGCCTGATGCAGTTGAGGATGTGGTTGCTCATTGCAGGGGGGTTGCACTAGGTGAGTTTTGAAGGTCCCTTCCAATCCAAACTATTTATGATTCGATTCTATGAAACCTCCCTGGCGGAGTTTCCCCAGCTCCCTTTTTGCCAGCATGGTTCTCATGACTATTTATGGCATCATCGCTGAGATTAAACCCCAGACTCTGCCTGGTCCCGGTCTGGTCTTTGCAGACACGGGCCCTGTGCGCAGCCGAGTGGTGCTTCCTGATTTACAGCGGTGGCGGGAGAGCCGGCAGGGCGCTCACAGGTCGAGGCAGAGCCCGGGATTTGCTCGCCAAGGGAGGGGTGACGCCGGGTCCCCGGCTCCGCCCGGCTCGGCGCAGGGCCCCGTCCGGCCCCGCTAGGGGGAGCTCGGGGCTCACGCACCGGCCCGGGTGGGCGCTCCGCCTACCGGCACCGGGAGGCTGCGGGCGGCGGTGTCGGGGCTGAGTCACCCCATGTGCCCGGGCAGTCCCTGCTCCGAGCTGAACGCGGAAGCGGGGGATCGCTGACAGCACCAAGGAGCGGGCAGGAGGCGGGTGTGGGACGGCGGAGGGAAGCGCGGTGGTGAAGGATAGGTCTCAACGGGAGAGGCGTGAAGGCGCACAGAGGTGGCCGGGCGGGCCCTGAGCGCTGAGTGGATGGAGGAGTAAACAGAAAAGCTTTGCTGGAGCTCTTGGTTTTCAGGAGGTTAATTTACCCGGTGACATTAAATCCTCCCAATTATTTCTTGCCACGGATACTGCCTATTGAGTAATTTACTTCGTATAAACCTATCAAGCGGTTCTCACACAGCAATTGAACAAACACACCCCAGAATTTTGATGGGTCTGGACAAAAGTAATCAAAAAGATTAATTATCGCTGTTAATCGCTTGCTTTGCAGACTCAGTTGCACACACCCCAACATGCCTGGTGCCCTAAGTGCTTGGGAAGCAGGGCCAGTGGGCTGGGTAACAGCAGCAGCAGGGGCTGAAGGCAGAGGAGCCTGCCATTGGCACAACACTCATGGAGAGACAGATGTTTGGGTGTCAGTATGTCCATGCTGGGACAAGGAGGTTTTGTGGAGGTCTCTGGACACCAGTGATGTGACCAAGAGCGTGTTTCCTTAGCTTCCAGAGTGATTTGCTTAATCAGCCTTGACTTCCTGCTCAATCAGGCAGCTTCTCTGGTGGGGCAGGGTGGCCGGAGGGGCTCTGAGGAGCTGCTGGGAAAGAAGAAGGTTCAGAGGCTGGAACACTTTCCCTGGAGGGAGCATGAAGGAAGTTTAAACTAATTTAGCATAACAAAGGAAAGGTTAAGGGGTGACTGGATCATCATCTTGATGTACTTCTTTAGGAATGAGACTTCTGGGAGCTGAGGGCTGTTAGAGTTTAGAGGACAAAGGAATAACAACATACAGTATCTGAAAGAGGAAGACAGCACGCAAAAAAGGGTGTCTCCCTTGTTAACGCTTAAGGTTATCGACTAATGTACTCAAGGATGGAAGAGTTTCTATCCCTCGATATCTTTAAATCCAGACGGCAGATCTTTCTGAAAGACAAGCCTGGGGTCACACAGAAATTATGGACTTGTGATTCTGTGGCTCGTGTCTTGCAGGAGTTCATATGAAATGATTTTATCTGATCCTTTGGACCTTAAGATCTATACATCTCCTTGCAATAGCTAACAGCTGCTGCAAACCTGCTAACTCCAACTGGTAGTCTGTAGATGACCATGATGTGATACACTTTGTGCCCTCTTCACCCCAGGACATAGTCCTGATGTACAGCCAGGACCGCTGTGCCATGGCAGGGTAGCCCTTGAGCCCCCCTTTCTCTCAATGGATTAGTGTGGTGCTGCATTTTCCCATGCAGTTTTTCTGTCCAGGGACGGCCGAAGGCTTGCTGCTGCATAAGTTGAAGAAAGCATGTTCTGCAGTCGGGGCTCTGCTGTTTGCTGAGGACTGCTGAAGTATATGGCATCATCTGCAGAGGCTGTATGGCTTTATTTCTGCTGAGCTATGGCTACTCTTCAGAGTGACCATCAATGAAATAGTGGAAACCAATATCTGCTTCTACAGAAAACTACTGTCTGTGAGAAGGAGGCCTCTCTTTTCCCCAGGAAATGTTCAGGTTTCTGTTGTCTATGTCCAGATTTGCCTGATGGGGGCATGAACCTAAAGCTCTTGGCTGCCAAACTCTCCTGATTTGAGCCTGCTGCCTGGTTTGAATTTCTTCTCCTCTGAGTCCTTAGGTTGCTCAGCTGAGCGTTGCGTTAATGTTGGGCTTGGAATTTGCTATTCCTCCCCTAAATCGCTATGCTCTGCTGCCCAACCGTGCAGTAGTTCCTCAGCTAATGTAAATCAGTTTAGCTCCTCTGCCTTCCCCCTTCTGTCACATACCCTGGCTCACACCGCCTCCCGCAGCCTGGCACCCTGAGGCAGCCACCACAGCAACCCTGTTTGTCCCCACAGGCCCTGCGTAGGAAGGTGAGGGTTAGACGGAGATGCCAGTTAAAGCCCAGTCAGCTGTGGCAGAGCTCCAGTGGAGCGATGCTCCTGTCATCTCCATCCTAGGGCTGGGCCTGGACTCTCGTACCTCCTGCCTTTTGGACCGGGCAAGTGAAGCACTGCTGCCTGTCAGGTCCCTTGGTGCTGGTGATGTGGAGGGTTCACCCCCATGAACATCGCCATAAGCAATACGTAAGAAGGCAGCATCCCTGTGCTAGGTCCTTGACTTCAGCAGGCTTCCTGGTGGATTCAGACTTCCAGCATGACTCAGGATATTGCAGTGTATCCTTAAGATAACATCTTTTGCTTGCCAACATGTAGGCTGGCTGCCAAAGGTGGGGGAGGAGATCTGTTGTGAGTCTTTTGTATGTGCTCATAGTAAATAGATATATGCCAAACTGATTGCAATTGCCTTCTATTTCTCCACTAGGAATTGAAGGAAGGGAAGAAGCAGTCCCCCATGGTCTCCCCCAAACCACTGCCTTATACCCAGGGTGCCTGCAGCCACCCATCACTGTTGCAGCCAGCACACACCCCATAAACAACAGTGTCATGATCCAGGTTTTGGCACATGCTTCGAGATGCCTGACCTGTCTATCAGGGTGCTCTCTCCACTCTGCGTCTGAACGTGCTGCTGGGTGAGAGACGTGCAGATGTCCCTGGTTATGGATGACGGGAGCTAGGGTGCAGCAAAGCAAAGTGACAAGGGAGTGCTGCTGGCTGGGGTCAGAGCTGCCCATGGCATGGGCACCCTGGCTGGGTCAGCCCTCACCCTGCAGAGCTGAGCAGTGTGCTGGGCCAGCTCAGACTCACTTGCAGGACAGAGTCAGTCTCTGATCTACTGCCCTGTTGTCAAATCATTAGCTTTTCCGGTTTAAACGCTTGATAAAATGGCCCTATTTTGAAGCCTGCCAGATGAGCTGCTGCTCGCTGCCCAGGACTGACACTTCCAGCTGCTCTCTGGCAAGATGCTTTCTCAAATGATTAGAAAAATAAAAGTAATCAAAGTTGTAACCACATCTGTGGCTGCTGTTATTGCTGGGAGCTGGGAGAACCAGCTCGGAGGCTTCGAGGTACCTTCTGAACTGGAAGTCTACCAGCACAGGTCCTGGTAATGGGAAGACCAGACACTAATGTGGCTCTTACTGAAATTTCTGGCTGAGCGAAAAAAGCAGCCTAAAAACCATCTGATTTAGGCTGTTATCCTAAATCAGCTGTGGGTTCTCTTCATGCACACCATCCAGCTGTGCTGATACATTGGCAGGCCAAGCTGATGAAGAGATCTGTAGTGTTAGTGAATGGTTTTACTTAGACGAGTCTCTTTTTCTATTAGTTTTTCCTAGGCTGCAGTATCTGTCCTCCACCCTTTCCCAGCACAGCTGGCAGAGAAGGGAGCAACACAATTTTTGCCTTGGTGGAAGAGAACGGGAATGGTACAGAGCATATCTGGAGCATTGCTCTTGAGTTGGAGGGACAAATTGTCTGCTGGTGTAGAAAGCCCCACCTCAATGGCATGCCGATGAGGTGACAGCAGTTTAATGCAGCAGAGGCTCTGTCCCCATCATCTCTAGGAAAAGTTGATTAGGTCCAGCAGATTGCTGACTTCTTTCATGAAGAAGCTGTAAAAAGTTCTTTTCTTCTGCTAGTGCTTCTCTCCAGGGAGTAGTTGGCAGAGAGAGGCGAGTCTCTCAGCAATAGTACATTTCGAAGTTATTATGCCAGCAGAAAAGAAACACAAGGATTTGAACTTGGTAATACATATTTCTGTATGACAGGCCAGAGCACTAAAGAGACACACACACACACACACACACACACACACACACACAGACACACACAGAGCCCGCCCGGCAGACCTCCCCAGGTCTGCAGGGCGCCTGACTCACTGCACTGTGGACCATGGAAGCTGTGAACAGGACCCCATTCCAGGGCTAATCCACCCTTAAACACAGCTCCTGGTTTCGATGGCTTGGTCCTGCCACCAAGCCAGCTCCTGTGCTGGCTGGGAGGCATGGAGATCTGGATAGAGCTTGCTCGGCCTCAGGATATGTCTCTTTTGGCTGTGGACAAATGGGGTCACCTTCTCTATCCACCCTACTGCTGTAATGAACCTACTGGTCATGATGATGCATTCAAGTAGTGAGCAGTGCCACTGAGCCCAAATCTTTGTGGGGCTGTGGTAATAATACTGCTTTCATGTAGGAAATGAGTGAATTGTCAACCAAGACCTCCTCCTTTTGTAATGATTAGCCCTCCGCTAATGATTTAATATTGGGTGATGTTGAGTGCTGCAGTATTGATGTTTAATGTGGTTGTCCTGGGTTCAGCAGTAGCAGTCATTTTTCTCCTTCTTGGTAGCTGGTGCAGTGCTGTGTTTTGACTTTCAGCTCAGGAACAGAGCTGGTAACACTGATGTTTTGGTTTGGCCAAATGTGAGCCTGATGCTCTGCCAGGGAGGAGGGGAAGCCGGGAGGAAGCAGAGACAGGACACCTGACCCAAACTGACCAAAGAGGTATTCCATACCACAGCACGTCATGCCCAGGATGTAACTGGAGAGTTACCTGGAAGGGCTAGGGCACTGTGGGGTTGGAGGAGGTATGGGTCGGTGCTTGGTCAGGCTGGGGTGGGCGGGGGGGGGGGGGGAGTTAGCAGTTGGCTGGTGCTGAGGTGTTGTATTCTCTTCCCTTGTTATTTCCTTTATCATTATTACTATTGGTGGTAGCAGTAGTGATCTGTGTTATACCTTAGTTACTAAACTGTTCTTATCTCAACCCGTGGGAGTTGCATTCTTTTTGACTCTCCTCTCCGTCCCTCCGGGAGTAGGGGAGTGAAAGAAGGGGGGGGAAATGAGTGGATGAGTTGTCTGGTTTGGTTTAAACCACGACAGTTCTCTAAAGCAAGGGCTCAGGAAGCAATAGATTTACTTTAGCTAATGTGTGAGAGCTGGGCTGTCCCTGGGCTCTCTGCTAGCTGACGGTCTGACGTGTTTGCTGTGGTGTGGCAGCCTCACCTAACAGAAGCTGAATTTCTGGCTAATAATTTAATGAAGGCTTTGCTGTATTTCCAATTACTGGAAAAAGCCATGATTCTTTTCTGCTATGTGTTACGAAATCAGCCCTTCATACTCCATGGAGCCAGGGGGGAGAGCACCTCATCCTTCTGAGATCCTCATCAGTCTTCCAGAAAGCCTGCCCACCCTCCAAGGGGCTGGGAGGCAGCTCCCAAATGGAGGAGGGCAGCAGATGTAGAGCACTGCATGGGGGAACTGAGCTGGCCCCAGGACCCACTTTGCCCCATGCGTGGCTGAAGTAGATGGATCTGGCGCCACAAGTAAGTGGCGTGGGAGGAAAACTTGGAAGGACAAATTACTGCAGGTATTGATTCCCAAGGCTGCTTGCAGAGGGATTTCATTTAGCAGCACTGCCAATGACATTATGTGCAGGATCTTGTCCATGGCTGGTTCAGTGGCATTAAGAGAATTACTTTGGCCTAATGAATAGGAATAAGAATATTTCAACCTCCTCCCTGGAAAGTAATGGTGGATCATCAAGTGTGCAGCCAAGTTCAGGTCTAGTCACTTGCCAAGTGAATGTAAATGACAGGTTGTTTTATTTAATGGAGACCATGGTGCGCTGGCCAGAATTCTTTTCTTTGTGGGTTGGTGTGTCCCTCCCCCCATTCTAAATCAGACTTTGTCTCTGCTCCTGACTGGCGCTTATATTTCAAGCAGAAGAGATTTTTGCTGACTCTTGCACTGAGATCTGTCTGTAAATTGCTCTAAACCTCCTCAATCAGCTGTATTTCATGCTGTGCTATGGGAGGAGGCAGGAGCTGGTGTGCTGGTGGTGGTCACCACCAGCCTGCAGTGGAGCTGGATCTCCCTGCCTTCTTCCAGCTCAGAGCCAGTGAGATGCTGCATTGCTGTCACTGCTGCCCCATTTCACCAAGATCAAGGGGACGTTGTGGAACCCCTCACCCTGGCATTGTGCCCTTTGCTGGCACGATGTACGAGCACCTGGGCTGCATTGCATTTGGATTTAGACAAGCCACTCGCTCCTGCAGGACACCTCCAAAGCCTTCCTCCTGCTCTCTGCACTGCTGTTAACAAGATGTTTGCAGGGGTAAAAGCCCCTGAAAAGGGCTGTGTAAACGCACACGGCCCAAAAGCCAGGCAGATGCACTGAGACGCAGGGCCCAGGCACTGCAAGAGCAGGATTTGTCCCCAACTCAGCACAGCGTCCAGAAAACCGGGGCCAGGGGCAGTGGGGAAGGGCAGGTCCTGTCTGATCAGGGCCTTAATTTAGTGTTACACTTTCAGTGACTTATTAAACTCTTAGAGCACAGGCTGTGCCTCACCACCGCTCACAAATTACATCACCATGAGACAAAACACCGTCACAGGCAAACATTTTTAGGCAGGACGCAGCGTTTTGCTTCATGTAACAGTGATGATTTGTAACAGTAATGGCAGAGGGTGGGTTTTCCCCCTCTTCTTTTGTAAAAATGAAAAGTGCTTGCAAAGTAAACTCTGATGTTTCAGCTACAGTCACCTCTCAAATGAAATGGCTGTGACTACTCACCAGCAGTTAATCCTTGCGTGGAGATTTTTGCTCAAGGATACGGGGTTTTCATCTCTTTGCTCAGAATCAGAGTTCTGCCCTAATTAATTTTTTTGTTGACGGGGAAAACAGGTTTCTGCTTTGTTTTGCCAAGTGTTTCGATGTGTGAGCAGAGGTGTCGCACGGGATGTGTGTTTGCAGAAGAGGCTGATGGCAAAGATCAAAACTGATTTGTTATGTTTGCAGAGGAAGAGGCTCTGTATCCACAAACCTGAGCAGGGAGTGACTGAAGGCTTCAGACACCAGCATTTGGAGCTGTAATTGTGGCTGTGAGTGAGTGACCAAAGTCCTGTTGACCTCACAGAAGCATAATTTCATGCTAGGTGTCTCTCATGTCCTGGTGCTCCCTCCCAGACCCAGTCTCTGACCTGCCCAGGACAACATAACTCAGTACAGCTCTGGGCCTTTCTCCTGCAGGATGAACCCAAGGGCTTCTCCTGCTTCAAGGCTGAGCAGAGAAGGGGCTGTGGGGTGATTTGGGAATGAGCTGGGTTGGGATTGATGCTAGTCAGGTCTCTGACCATTTGCAAACAAGCTGTAAAACCATCCAGACAATAGGCCTGCGGAGCTGCCTTTTGGCTGGAACTATGCCTGGAAAATGTATTTCCCAAGTGGGCACTTCAGCAGTTACAAATCCCTGACTGATGTGGTTGAAGGACATGGCAAACACATGACCCATTGCCATGATCCGCCAGCCTGGATCCTACTGATGTGCTTGTTTAATCCCCTCTGACACCACACAGAAGCTTCTGCCTCTGAGCACTGCCAGCATCAGCCCTTCCTGGTGCAAAACCCCCCATCCTTGCATGCACAGGCGGATGGGAGATCCCTGTGGGAGAGCTGGCCCAGCTGCTGGGAAAGCAGCAGTGGAGAGCATGGGAACGGGTGAGGAGCTCTCTGCACTGCTCTCATGGAAAGCTCAAGAGCAACTGCTTGGCGTAAGAGCTCACCAGGGTCATGGTGCGTTGGGTGGGATGGAGGATTGTCACCTCCTTCTGGACATGTGGCTGCTTCAGAAGGCTGTCAGTCCCCCTGGCTCTTTTTCTGCTGCCTGATCCTTTGCTTGCTTCCTTTGTCCTTCATGGCAAACCACTGCCAGGGTGGGTGGGCCGTGGTGCGGGATCTGTGCTGGGATGGATGGAGGTAAGATGGAGGTCCTGTTTGGGCTCCACAGCCAAAACATGTGCTTTCTGGGCATGGCAGCATAGCTTTGGGGACCCTCAAGATCATGGGCACCACAAGACCTCCCTGTCCCACCCCACTGGTTGCTGAGGATGTTCACGTTCATGGGTAGGCAGCAGCAGTGAGCTGCCATAGCCCTTCACAAGTTGTCCTAATTTGTCTCTAACAGGTCTCTAAGGGCACAGCTCTCATTGACTGGTTGTCATCCACAG